AAACCTCGCGGGCGACGGGCTGGGGAGCTGAGCCTCCGGGGCCGCGCCGCCACCGGCCAGGGGCGCCGCCCAGGCTCTGGGAAGGTGGGTCCCCAGGAGCTGCGGGGCCTTGGACCGGCTCCGCGGGGAGGGAAAGCGCGCAACTGGGGACGGACCAGCGGACGCCGAGGAGAATGAACCCGGGAGTCAGTGACCCTCCCCCGCCCTGAACTGCGGGGCCCGGCGCCTGCGTGCCAGGGCTTTTGCTGATGCGGGAAACCCACTTCGCTTCTTGCCAACCCTTGGCTTCTACGTCTCATCGCCTTTGGAAGAAGCGATGGCAAAGCCGCGCGGGCGGACGGACAGCCCGCCCTTTCCTCTCCGGGCCCCCTCGGGAGGCCGCTGCGGACAGTTCCCAGGCGCAGCACGGAGACTAACCTTCGGAAACCCGTGTGGCAGTTTCACAGAGTGATTCTGTGTCTGCGGCAGTAATTATAAATATTGGTGCTTTCATCTCCATGGCCTTTGAAACGCTTTTTTCCCCTTTTTATCGTGGTTACATACACATCACATACATGTACCATCTTAGCCATTTTTAAGCTCACAGTTCAGTGCAACCACCAGAACTTTTCTTCTTCCCTACAACGTAATTCACCTGTGTGTGTGTTTCTCCCACTGGAATGTGAACTGAGGACAGGGGTTTGGAGCGCATTGTTGGTCCGCAGTAACTACTGGTAGGGATCACATTAGGAACAGTGTCCCCAGTAAGCACTCACTTCCCATGTCCCCGCCCTCCTACCCTGAGTAACCTCCATTCTACTTTCCATCTCTCCGAATTGACTACCTTCTGAAAGTGGAATCAGACAATAGGTGTCCCTTTGTGTCTGACATTCCACTTAGCACAACGTGCTCTTTTGTTTAATTTTTCTAGCCGTGCATTTTTATTATCTGGTACAAAACTATTGGGCCACGCGGATTGGTCCTTCACCTCAGGGAGAGCAAAGTCTCAGGGTGTGATGCCACCCTGACCAGCTACCCTTGGTCTTGTCCCTGTTCCTTCCCCTCCCACCTCCAATAGCCACACACAGTCCCACCTCAGACCTTTGCACTTGCTGTTCCCTCTACCTGAACGCCCCCCTAATAGATATCCATGTGACTCACACCCTTCATGAAGCCCCGTGCTGCTTTGCTATCGATTCTTCCAAAGATGTGATGAGACGTAGAAGCTAAGTGTTTGCAAGAAGCAAACTGGGTTTCTGATATCAACAAAACATCTACACATCGAAAAAAATACATAGAAATTCCCCGGTGTAAGAAAAGAGACTCCCCCCATTCCTTTTCCCCTTTCTTAGACCATTTTCTTTGGAAAACTTGTAAGTCTTTTCTCTATCCTATTGAGATGTATGCAAATTCTTTTGAAAGCTAAATAAGCCTCCCACCAGCCAGTTTTGCAACCCAGGAACAGTTCTCTTTGGGAGCTCAAAGCCATCTCTTTGAAATGTAAACATCTAAGAGAAAACCCCTCTATCCTGTGTCCTGGGAGTTTCACCTGGCTCCAAGCTGTGGCTACATCCTTGTCATAAAGATACGCGATGTTTTAGCCCCCCTTTGGGTAAATACCACCAGCTAAGGTAACCCTGGCCGGGTGCTCAGTTGGTATCATCCAGATGTGCCAAGGTTGTGGGTTTGAGCCCTGGTCAGGGCACCAATAAGACTCAACCAATGGATGCATAAATAGGTGGGACAACAAGTAGATTTTTTTTCTCTCTCTCTCCCTTCTTCCTGCCGTAGCTCTCTCTCTAAAATAGATAAGTAAATAAAAAGGACAATTAGCTAACACAAATGGCCACCCCAATTGCCAGCCATATTTAAATGAACTATGTGCACTGTCAAGTCCTCTTATCTGAGGATAAATCATCATTTATAAGGATGAAATCTCTTTCTGTTATTATAACTATTGATTTGGACCCTATGTGGATAAACAGCCCATAGGGTTTGTCCTCAAGACTTAAAAACAACTAGAGCCATGAACATTAAACCTTCCAGCGGGAGCCTCAGAAAAAGACTTTGATGTTAAATGATGGCCTCACCTTCAACTCATTGCCTGACTTCTTCCCTGACCCACCACTTTTGAGTCCACACACACACCCCACCCTGTCTTATCACTCTTCCTTGCTTCTTTATTCCCTACAGGCCTAACGCCTTCTAATGTACAACGTAATTCACCAGTGTGTGTGTTTCTCCCCCTGGAATGTGAACTGGGGACGGGGTTGGAGCACATTGTCGGGCCTCAGTAACTACCGTTAGGGATCACATTAGGAACATTTGCCTCCTGTGAGCAGGGTTTCTGGGTTTTAGCTGGTGGCCTTGTAATGTTGGCTCTCTGGGGCCTTCTCTGTTTACGGGTGGGGTTGCCAGTTGCATTCTTAGTAGGTTCCTGATATCCAAATTGCTGGCTTTTCAGATGTCAAGGTCAGCTCTCCCCAGCCAGGCCCCCATACTATTGTGACCTTGTAGATGGACTTTGGGACAATGGACATGGAGGATGTGATGATGAGGAAGATGAAGGTGAGCCAGCACCCACTGACCTGCTATTTGGACCACAAACTCTTTCTTCTGGAGCAGAACAGGGTTCTGGATGGAGCAGGACACGTTGCTGTGGGCCCCGCCTTGGACGACCACAGATGTCTCCAGACCGAACAGGCCGCGGGCGTCCTGGGTGATGGCTTCGAACTCCGGAGGCAGGCACTGTCCCACGTGGCCCCTCCACTGAGCCTGAGGCTTGGGGTACCAGCCACTGGAGCTGCACCTGAGCTGAATGCCTCCTTTCTTGAAGCCCTCAAGGGAGATGTGAGGGTCTGACCCCATCCCTGGAGAGGCAGGAGTGGGAAGGATTAGGCTCCCTCCGGAAGTTGTGGTGAAAGCTTATCATTTGCAGTCACCATAAGGTATCACGAACTATGACTGCTCTGAGCACAACAGGGGCTCTTGGCCTCCACCCACGGACTGTCAACAAGGAATCTGTTGGAACATTTGGAAACATGGAGGAGGCATTTACTCAAAGGGGCTACTGACATCTAATCTAATAAAAGGGTGATATGCAAATTAGCTGTCACTCTGTCACAAAGATGGCGGCGCCCACAGCAGCCGGGGCGGGACGCTGGCGTTGTCACCCCAGCAACGAGGCCAGCGTCCCGCACCCCAGCGGTGGAGGGAGGGAGGGCATCTGGGCAGGCAGCTCCCCCCCAGCCCAGCAGACACAACACAGGTCTGGGGAGTGGGTGCGCTCCCGGTGGCCTCCTCACAGCTTGGAGCATGCCTCCATCCCAGCGGACACAAGCGGTCAGTAGGACATCCCCTGAGGGCTCCCAGTCTGTGAGAGGGCGTAAGGCTGGGTTGAGGGACCCCTCCCCCGCCCCCCGTGCACAAATTTCATGCACCAGGCCTCTAGTTTAGTCATATTATGAAAGAAACAGTCCCTGAGAATGAAGAATAATCTCACCAGGGCTCAAGTGCCTGTGATAACACTCTCCTTTACCGCCCCATCTTTGTGTCACTAGCGTTACGTTTTAAATATGCAGAACGTTAATATGGTTTAAATGCCAATACTGTAACAGATGTATGTCAGGAGAGTCCCAGACCTTTCTCCATCCTTTCCACCCCCTGGCAGCCCCTGCCTTGGGGAACTCATGTCATTCGTTTCTACTTATCCTCCCTGTGTTTTGTCTTGTGCAGTGTTTCTCCTTCTTTCTTACACTAAAGCTGACACACTATAGGACGTCTCATGCATCTTGCTTTCCTTTTGTCTGAACAACCTGGAAATCACTCCGCACCAGTTCACAGAGCTGCTGTTTCTCCAGGTGCGCGGTATGGATCACCCCACGTGTGATCGGCCACACTCAGCACCCGTGCTTGCTCGTTGAGGTTGCTCCCGCTAATTTGCAATTACAAAGAATGCTACACAGATTAAACTTATTCCTTTGGCTTTTTTCTATTTAGCTGCGGGCGGTGTCTCTTCAGGGTAAACTCCTAGAGGTGAGATTGGTGTTCAAAGGCAGGTGCGCAGATACCCTGCAGTCGCCGAAACCCCAGGCCCTGGCGCTTTGGGACCCTGAACTTTGTCTACATGGTGCAGAGGCTCCTCCCCACAATCCCGCCAGTTTTAACGTTTTTGCCAGACTGAGCAGTAAAAAATTGCATGTCAGTGTGGCTTTAATTTGCCTTTCACGATGAGTAAAAGGCATCAATCATCTTTCCATATGTTTACGGGCTGTGTATCTTTTTTTGTGAACAACTTTTTTGTTGTTCATTTTCTAATGTTTTTAACAGAGCAATTCCCCTCTTCTCTGCGCTTCCCCGTCTACTCTGAAGCCAAGCAGTTACATCCAATGGACTCTGCCCTACGGCCCCCGCGCAGGCGCCCGGCCAGCTCACAGCTCACGCACCTGCGACCTCCAGCTCCCACACAGCTTCACCGGAGAAGGAGTCGTCGCGGGAGAGGAAGCGGCACCCGTAAGGGCCCTGGTCGGCGGGGACCACGTCCTGAAGCTGCAGGATCACGGTGCCGTCCAAGATCTCGTCCTTGATGAGTGTGGTCCTGTTCTGGAACTGCGCCATCTGCCGCCCCGGGAACTCCCGCCGGTCCTGGTACAGGTGCACCACGTCGGAGGCCTGGCTCCGGAACCAGAGGATCTCCATGTGCTCTGCGTCTCGGTAGGGGGACAGGTGGCACGGGAACTCCACCTCTTCCCCGACATTCGCCAGGATGGACTCCCCAGGGCCAATCACCTTAACCTCCTCTAGGATGAGAAGACAGAACAATGGCCAAATACAGCTCTCCTCACATATAGGCTTTTGTCATATCCCTTTGCAGCTCAGAAATCTGCAGTAAACCATTCAGACGAGGAAGGTGAGACACCCTACAAGACAGCCATCGGGTTTCTTGAACAAGTTATTGTCATGAAAGAAATGAATTGGGCCCTAGCCCGTTTGGCTCAGTGGGTAGACCTGCAGACTAAAGGGTCTCGAATTCGATTTTGGTCAAGGGCACATGCCCTGGTTTCGGGCTTGATCCCCAGTAGGGGGCGTGCAGGAGGCAGGAGGCTGCAGGAGGCAGCTGATCAATGATTCTCTCTCATCACTGATGTTTCTATCTCTCCCTCTACCTTCTTCTCTGAAATCAATAAAAATATGATTTTTAAAAAGAAATGAATTGGTAATTTCTGAATAATGGGAATATTTTCTTTTTTTGTTTTGTCTGATTTTATATTTTTTATAGTGTACATATACACAGCCTCTGTAACAGCAAAGGGTATTAAAATAATCTATGGGGCCCTAGCTGGTTTGGCACAGTAGATGGAGCGGCAGCCCATGGACTGAAGGGTCCCAAGTTTGATTCTGGTCAAGGGCACATGCCAGGTTACGGGCTGGATCCGCGGGGGGAGGGGGGGGTTGCGTGCAGGAGGCAGCCAGTCAATGATTCTGTCTCCTCATGGGTGTTTCTATCTCTCTCTTCCTCTCTGAAGTTGATAAAAAAATATATTTTAAAAAAGGTCAAATCCTTCCTTGAAGATGTTTATTTGGGGGGTACACTGAACTTTATTGATGGTGCATGACAAAGTAGGGCTCCCTACCCACCTCCTTTCTTCAGGGGTCTGGGGTGGAAACTGGAGGTTAGGAGATTCTCATTGTGTTGGGGGATCGATCTGGGGCCAGGACTCCCAGCAGCTGAGGGCCCTCTTCCTCTCGCTGGGGCTGGTGGTCCAGGGGGTTCTTACTCCTCGGAGGCCATGGGCACCATAAGGTCCACCGTCCTGTTGCTGTAGCCAAATTCATTGTCAGACCAGGAGACAAGCTTGACAAAGTGGTCATTGAGGGCAATGCCAGCGCCAGCACCAAAGGTGGAGGAGTGGGTGTCATGTTAAAGTCATAGGAGACCCCCTGGTCCTCAGTACAGCCCAGGATGCCCTTGAGGGGCCTCTGACGCCTGCTTCACTCCCTTCTTCATGTCATATATTTGGCAGCTTTCTCAGGCGGCAGGTCAGATCAAAAATCGACACTGTGGGTGGGACACGGAAGGCCATGCCAGTGAGCTTCCCTTCAGCTCAGGGATGACCTGGCCCACAGCCTTGGCAGCGCCGGGAGAAGCGGGGATGACGTTCTGGGCAGCCCCTCGGCCATCACACCACAGCTTCCCAGAGGGGCCATCCAGGGTCTTTGGGTGGCGGTGACGGCATGGACTGTGGTCATGAGTCCCTCCGGATGCTGAAGCTGTCATGGATGACCTTGGTCAGGGGGGCCCGGCAGTGGGTGCAGGAGGCATTGCTGACAATCTCGAGGGAGTTGGCCCATCACAAACATGGGGCAGCCGCAGAAGGGGCAGAGATGACCCTCTTGGCTGCCCCTTCCAGTGAGCCCCGGCCTTCTCCATGGGAGTGAAGACACCACTGACCCCACAACATCCTCAGCACCGCATCTCCCATCTGATGTTGGCGGGATCTCGCTCCTGGAAGACGGAGATGCACTTTCCACTGGTGACAAGCTTCCCATTCTCAGCCTTGACGGTGCCTTTGAACTTGAATAGAATCATCCTGGAGCATGTACACCATGCAGTTGGGGTCAATGAAGGGGGTCACTGATGGGGACGATGTCCATTTTCCCAGATTTAAAAGCAGCCCTGGTGCCCTGACTGGTTTGGCTCAGTGGATAGAGCGTTGGCCTGCGGACTGAAGGGTCCCAGGTTCAATTCTGGTCAAGGGTATGTACCTTGGCTGCGGGCACATTCCCAGTAGTGGGTGTTCAGGAGGCAGCTGATCGATGTTTCTCTCTCATCGATGTTTCTAACTCCCTCTCTCTCTCACCCTTCCTCTCTATAAAAAATCAATAAAATATATTTAAAAATAAATAAATAAAAGCCCTGGTGACCAGGTGGCCAAAGTTGTTCACTCTGACCTTGACCATTGTGTGTCAGGGTTGCCGCTGGCTCTGCGCGGGAAGACAAGGCTGTGTGATGAACAGGAGGAGCAGAGAGCCCTGCCTTGGAGACTTCTGTTCACCAGGATCTTTCATTGATCATCCTCTTTCACGGTGTGTCCACCTGGTCCCTCCGGTTTCTGCAATTCCCAGGAGAGGTGCTAGTCTTGCTGCAGTTCTTCTGCACGAGCTGTTTCCTGCCGCCCGGCCTGCCTCACTCTTCTCTCTGCCTTCGGTGAGCCTCCTTTCCTTCCTTCAAAGGTCAGCTAAAAACTACATTCATCCCAAGCTGAGCTAAAACCTCACTCCCAGCTCTCCCGGCATGGATCCCGCCCTGCCTTTGGTGGCGCACGGTGGTGCCTTCTTTGTTCACTCCACTTGAGATCCCTTGTGGCCACGGGTGAAGCCCCAACACCCTTCCAACTAGCTTCCTTCTCCAGCTCCCCCCACACACCTGATGCCTGGCCCTCTCCCTGGGTGCACCCTCCCTCAGTTTACCCTCCACCTGTCATCTTTCTGCCTAACATGTACCCTGCAAGGCTCTGCTCAAACACGTCCTCCTATCTAGGGCTCTTTTTGACTTTCTGGAAAAAAAAAAAACCCCAAATGATTCTCTTAGCTCTGCTCCCAAAACTTGGGTACATTTCTCTTGCACCCTGATCACAAACAGCTGGACAGATGGATTTAAAAGTATTTTCCAACTGGCTCAGCCCAAGCACAGACCAGTAAGAGCTTCTTGGCACTCTCTCGCTCTGCCCCGGCCGGCCGTGCCTGGGAGCTGTGGGGAGTATGTAGGAATGTGCTGGGTGGCTGGAGAGATGGGGAAAGAACACTGCGGGTGGGGCTGGCTGGTGTGTGGGGCCCATGGCTCAACCACTGGGATGGAAATGTTCTTAAATACTAGCACCTGGCGTGGCTACAGACCACAGCCCGGAGCACCTGCAGGAGGGGTCGGTGGGAGCTGATACGCTCACGTCCTGGCTGGCTGGGCTGCAGATCGGATACGCTACCTGAGTTTGATTCCTGAGGCTGGAAGAAGAGGAGGAGATGGATGAGGAAGACGAGACTGCTGGGCTGAGGTACCCGCTGAAACGAGTCCAGGGAAACTGGGGAATTTACCATCTCCTCAGCAGTAGGGTCACCTGCAGAGGGACAAAGAGATGCTGGGGTGACACAGGAGAGCTGGAGCCCGGCCCCTCAGGCCCGAGGTCTATCCGTGCCTTAATGATCTTTTGTCTGGTTCTTAACAACCCCAGTACCTGGCTTCTTCTAAACCAGGCATGTCAAACTCGTGGCCTGCAGGCCACATGCCTCACTTATGTGGCCCGTGTTAGCCTTTGAGTTTGACATGCTTCTTCTAAACCACAGCCGGATGTGAGAGCTGCTTCTAAATTTACCAGGCAGCTCTGTTAATGGCATCACTGCCCTTGCCTGGCCTCACGGAGCCACATGGGGACAGGGCCCAAGGTCCCAGAGGAAGCAGTTCCTGAGGTTCACATTGTTTTAGAGCCAGAAATAGAGCCACGTGTTTTACGGGGGCTCAGTTAGTATTTAGTGACTTTCTACAAAGGGAAATCTATAAAAACTCTCACATGCATTTTCACTCTCCCTGCCCAGCCCTGTTCCCATTTCCCTTGGCCTGGAACATCAGGTCCACAAAACAGATGAACAAACACCGAGTTCTAATCTCTCAGAAATGGGACGCATGCCTGGCAGACACTGACCAACTTCAACCGCACCTGGGACACCGCCCTCCGGTCCTAGACCCTCAGGTGTAGCCTCCAGGAGGTTAGCTGGTGACTGCCCCTGAGTCTATGGCATTTTTGAGGCCACAGTGATGGTGTGGTCCCATCTAGCTACAACAACCCCCATCTGTGGTTCAGGAAACCCACCCCCAGGACAGGCAAGGGCTGTCCCTCTTACTCCTGACACCACCTCGGGACTTGCAGCATGTCTCACAGTCCTACAGCCAGTGAGTGCGGGCAGCCAATGCATCCTGGGAGATACACAATTCTCTCCGCATTTGTCCTCTGTTTAGTTGTGGGACTTTAGGAAAATTTTATAACTGGTGGAACCTCAATTTCTTTGCTTGAACAATAGAAGAAACCAATGCCAACTCAGAGGGTCGCTAAGCTTCCCACAGCTTGGCTGGGTGCTCTAACGAAAAGTGAGCACCTCCCCCCTCCGCCTCCACCTTCTAAACAGCTGCTCGCCACCCTCCACCTTCCTCCGGAGACGGAGACGAATCCCCCTCCTTTCACTCCATCATTGCACCCCAAGGGGTGAGGGAGCCCCATGAAGTTCCCACTCTCATCATCCTCAGCCTCCCTTCCCCCTCCTTCTCCCGCCCACGCCATGGTTTGGTTTCCTTTCACACAGACCTGTGACATGGCACATGCTCCTGTGGTCCTGTGACCGCAGAGCCCCAACCCACGGTCAGCAACACCACTGGACGGTCAGCAACACCACTGGCCGGGTTGAGATGAAAGACTTGAAAGCTGCTGGGTTAATCAGCAGGAGAGGGGCCGGAGGAGGTGTGAGGGTGACTTAATGGGAGAGGGGAGACTCTCAGGTGGCCCCTGAGCTGGAAGGACTGGGTCAATAGAATACCATGGGGTGGGAGGTGATAGCTGTGAGGTGAGTGGGCCAGGGGCGAGGGGCCCTGCCCTCCAGGAGCTCACAGGAGGGGGAGGGGGAGGCAAGCTGGAGCAGTTTGGTTTGTGCTTCAGGAGGGACCTCTGGGGGGAGGAAGTCAGAGTCCCTTCTGGAGGGTCCTGGCTGTGTTCCAGGCCAGCAGCTACTCCGGTGACTATTCCCACAATAACCGCACAGTCCAGCCTCTCACCCTCCGGGCTGAGGGCAGCAACATGTATGTGTCAGGCCTGGAAACCAGCAGCAAGAATCCCAGAAGAGGGGGTGTGTTTCCTCTCCTCCCTGCTCTCTTCTCTTTTGGGCCTCGGTCTTTACTTCTGGACTCGTAACTAGAGGCTCAGGAGGGCAAGACCATGAGGTCTATTAGCAGCAGCCAACGCCTCCCAGACAGGAGGGCTCAGGACACCTGACGGGTCTGTTTGGACTGGCCGGGCTCTGAGGAGTTAGTCAAGCCTTATGGTAGTTGTTGACTTGAGTCCTCTCTGTGGCAGCCATGGCTCATCAGGCCCACAGCTGGGGCGGGTGTGCTTCACAGGAGGAGTGCATGCCCCGATACTTTGGGGGCTGGGGCTGTCAGTGCGTTCCAGACCCTGAAATTACTGTAGGACGGCAGGTGTCTGTTGTGATGCACCCATGTGATTTCTGTCACCAAGGCTGGAGGAGTCTCTCTCTCTCTCTCTCTCTCTCTCTCAGAGTAATAAGAAATTAGCACAAATCGAGACCTTAGTATCTTACCAATCACTTACCTACATCAGAGTATTAAGACTATTATTGCCACAGACAAGGAAACGGAGGCAAAAGGAGGCCAGCTGACCAGCCTGCGCCAGGGTTGGTGGTGGAGAGGGGGTTCCAGCTTTGCGTTTCTCTGAATTCCTCATCAGCAGTGCCATGTGTCAGGACTGGGTGCACCTTCAGTCTCCTGTCACCCACCCATCGTGACCCCTGCAGGGACCTCCGGCCACAGCACTTGCCCTGACAGCATCTCTTGTACACTGAGTCCCCAGGCTTCAGCCCCAAGACCAATGAGCCAACCAACCAACCACCAGCCAATGAATAAAATTCTGAAAGCCCCCTCAAAACGGAGTCTTCCTTCGAGCGCGTGAGCAGCATCTTCTCGAACAGACGGCACATGCCCGTAGTCTCTGCTCCCAACACACAAGGCTGTGCCCGGGGAGCCTTCACTCAGAGGGAGACAGTCTGGCAATTCCTGAAGGGGTTTCAGAGGGGCTGCATGCCCTGTGCTACCGAAAGGAGCTTTTAGGGGTAAAATAGGCGGGTTTAGGGAGGTTTAGAACCTAAGAGGCTCCTTGGGGGAGGAAGGCTTGGAGCCCGTAGGTGGGGGCCTGGAGCTGTCAACAGGCATCCATTCACCGAGAACAAAAGGTGCCACAGGATAAGGGGAGAGGGAGACACCCACTCACAGAAGATAGGGAAGCCACGGGCATCGGGAGAGAGGAAGCAGACGCTCACGGGGAATAGAGAAATGCCCGCACATGGGAGAAGAGGGAAACAGATTTTCACAGCAGACAGAGAATTCTACCGCTGAAGGGAGAGAAAAAGGGGGAGTGTGAGCTTTGAAGTTGATGTTCTACCTACTGGAAGGCAGCATCAAGAAGCAAAGAACTGCAGCCTTTAGAAACCTTAGAGAGAAAAAAGGGGCTCAGTGGGTCACCCCCTTGGGGAACCCCTCACCACGTGGGAGTCTGTACTTGTTCCCAATAAATTTCCACTATTTTCATTTGCCACCTTTTGTCCGTGGCTTCATTTTTCAACTCCACCTGGACAAGAGCGTGGGAAAGAAACCACCCTTGCATCCTGCGCAGGGAAATCCCCTGGACTCAGTGCCCTTCCCCCGCCTGCCACCTGCAGCTCACCCTCCTGACCTCTGCTTTAGAGGCTCAGTCCTCCAGAGAGCAAGGACCCTGAGGGGCGCACTTCCCCCTGAGCTTTGACACCACAGGGCATGGATTTCAGGTTCTGGTTCGGATGAGGAGACTCTGCTGGGGGAAAGGCCTGGATGTGCTGAATATTCGGGGAAGATGGAGGGGCCAGTGGGGAGGGGATGGACAGACAGGGGGTTTCAGGCGAGAGCTAAGTTTTGCTGGTGGGCACCTTCTCCCTGCTCTCCAGGGAGCCTCGGCGAGTTCCCTCCTGGGGACCCGGGAGGCGGGTGCGGGGAGGGCTCGTGTGGGAAGGGAAGGAAGGCTCGGACACACGGGCACACAAATGCTGCCCCCTTTGCCAGGGGAAGCCCAAGTGCCCTCATTCCTTTCCTCCTCACTCCCCCCACCCCCGGCCCTTCCATCCCATTCCAGTTTGCTCCTCCTGCTTCTCCAGTTCCTAGAGCTCACCCATGGTCTTGAGATTGCAGGTTCCTCAGCTTTGAGTATCTCTTCAAAGGTTATGTTTTGCTTTTGCTACTTTGGTGAGCTTCACCCTCCTCCCATGCCCAGTGTCCTAAGCTGTAAGCCCGGGAGAGGGTTTGCCCCTTGGCCCTCCACAAGCTGTCGATGGATCGATGCTCACTGGCTTGCTTTGGTTTGATTTCAGCAGGCCCACAAGGGAGTTCCTACCCCGTCTCCCAGGGAGATGAACCTCCCCAAGGGACCCTCAGGTGGAGCTGCAACTCCCCGTGGCCACACTCCACACACCCCTCCCTGCAGCCAGGCCCTGCTGGGAAGATGGGGCCAACCTGTGCTCGCTCAAGAAGCCATCATTTTCTGCTTCCCGGTTCTGAGAGGTGGAGGTGTGGACAGGCTTGGGAGTGAGCCACGTACCTGGCAGGCTGCGGCGGAAGGTCCGAAGTGGCCGACGAGTCCTGGCGATCCCAACTCTGGGGCAAAGAAGATGCTCGTTGTAAAGAGTCTTGGTCCAGCTGAGGGGCAGCTCACGTGTGACAAGTCCCCACCCACCTTCCACCTCAAGACACCGCAGCTTGCTCTGCCCTTTGCTATAAAAGCCAAGAGAGATAGACAAAAGGAGGAAGTCCCTGTCACATCCTGTCTCTGTGAGGCAGATCATGAATTACATTTCCATGAAAACCATTCCAAGGGCTTAAAAAGAGGGCAAAGGTACCTGGGGGTTTTGTAGAGACTGCAGGCTGCGGATGCTCAGCGCGGTGGGGCG